TCAAATATTTGGGTTTGGGGTAGGGTTTGAGAGGAGGGATCAGAGATGGGAGTGATGGTGGGTAGGTTCACAGGAGAAAGAAAGGGGATATTTTGGTTGAGATACTGTGATACAAGAAGGCATAGGGTAACGTGTAAGAATAGTGGCTTAATCATCTACTGAGGGAGAGCCACAGGTGGGGATCCAGAAGGACCAGTAGAAGAGGAAGGAGACAGAGAGAAGAGAACCAAAGGGGAGGAGAGTGGAGAGGGAAGTCAATGGGGTCAGCCAAGGAGGGGTGCCCACAGGAAAACAGGCAGTTATGGGAGTATGATTGAGGTGGTGAAGGAGGACAGGAGAGGCAGCAGGATATTGAGGTCTGCCTGGAAAAATGTGGCAGAAGGGAATAGTTGTTGTTGTTGTTGTTGTTAGGTGTCATTGAGTCAGTTCCGACTCACAGCGACCCTCTGTACAACAGAAAGAAACACTGCCCAGTCCTGCGCCAGCCTCACAATACTTGCTATACCTGACCCCATTGTTGCAGCACTTTAAAGAGGTCTTTTGCAGCAGATTTGCCCTATGCAATATGTCATCCGATTTCTTGAATGCTGCTTTCATGGGTGGTTACTGTGGAACCACGTAATATGAATCTTTGACAACTTCAATCCTTTCTCTATTTATCATGATGCTGCTTATTGGTTCAGTGTGAGGATTTTTGTTTTCTTTATGTTGAAATGTAATCCATACTGCAGACTGTAGTCTTTAATCTTCATCAGTAAGTGCTTCAAGTCATCTTCACTTTCAGCAAGCAAATTTGTGTTGTCTGTATATCGCAGGTTGTTAATGAGTCTTCCTCAAATCCTGATGCCATGTTCTTATTCATTTAGTCCTGTTTCTCGGATTATTTGCTCAGCATACAAATTGAATAAGTATGGTGAAAGGATACAACCATGATGCACTTTGTTTCTAATTTTAAACCACGCAGTATCCCCTTGTTCTGTTCAAATGACACCTGGTCTATGTACAGGTTCCTCATGAGCACAATTAAGTGTTCTGGAATTCTCATTCTTCTCAATGCTATCCATACTTTGTTATGATCTACACATGGTTAAAAAAAAGTAAATAACTTTCTGGTATTCTTGGCTTTCAGCTAAGATCCCTCTGACATCAGCAATGATATCCCTTGTTCCACATCCTCTTCTGAATCCAGCTTGCATTTCTGGAAGTTCTCTGTCAATACACTGCTGCAACTGTTTTTGAATTATCTTCAGCAAGATTTTACTTGCATATCATATTAATGATATTGTTCAATAATTCCCACATTCTGTGGGATCACCTTTCTTTGGAATGGGTACAAATATGGATCTCTTTCAGTCAGTTGGCCAGGTAGCTGTCTTCCACATTTCTTGGCATAACTGAGTGAGTGCCTCCAGCATGGCATCCGTTTGTTGAAACATCTCAGTGGGTATTCCGTCAATTCCTAGAGACTTGTTCTTCACCAATTCCTTCAGTGTAGCTTCAACTTCCTCCTTTGATACCATTGGTTCTTGATCATATGCCACTTCCTGAAATGGATGAACATCAGCCAATTCATTTTGGTATAGTGACTCTGTGTATTCCTTCCATCTTCTTTTGATGTTTCCTGCATCCTTCAATATTTTACATAGAATATTTCAATATTGCAACTTGAGCCTTGAATTTTTTCTTCAGTTCTTTCAGCTTGTGAAATTCCAAGTGTGTTCTTACCTTTTGGTTTTCTAACTCCAAGTCTTTGCACATTTCATTATAATAATTGACTTTGTCTTCTTGAGCTGCTCTTTGAAATCTTCTGTTCAGCTCTTTTATCCTGTCAATTCTTCCATCTACTTTAGCTACTCTCCATTCAAAGACAAGTTTCAGAGTCTCTTCTGACATCCATTTTGGTCTTTTCTTCCTTTCCTGTCTTTTAAATGACCTTTTGCTTTCTTCATGGATGATCTTCTTGATGTCATCTGTTTCTCGGTCATTGGTGTTCAATGCATCAAATCTATTCTTTAGGTGGTCTCTAACTAAGTTCAGGAGGGATACAAGCAAGGTCATATTTTGGCTCTTGTGGACTTGTTTTAATTGTCTTCAGCTTCAACTTGAACTTGCGTATGAGTAACTGATTGTCTGTCCCACAGTCAACTCCTGGCCTTGTTTTGGTTGAAGATACTGAGCTTCTCCATCGCTTTTTCCACAGATGTATTGATATGATTCCTGTGTGTTCCATCTGGTGAGTTCCGTGTGTATAGCCACCATTTATGTTGTTGAAAAAAGATATTTGCAATGAATAAGTCTTTGGTCTTGCAAAATTCTATCATGAAATGTCTGCCGTCATTTCTATCACAAGGCCATATTTTCCAACTACCAGTGATTCTTCTTAGTTTCCAACTTTTGCATTCCAGTCACCAGTAATAGTCAACACATCTTGATTACCTATTTGGTCAACTTCAGACTGTAGAAGTTGGTAAAAATCTTCCAAGTTCCTTGTCTTTGGCTTTGGTGGTTGGTGTGTAAGTTTGAATAACAGTAGTATTAACAGATCTTCCTTGTACATGTATGAATATTATCCTGTCACTGACAGCATTGTACTTCAGGATAGATCTTGAAACATTCTTTGTGATAATGAATGTCATGCCATTCCTATTCAATTTGTCATTCCCAGCATAGTAGATCATATGGTTATCTGATTAAATATGGCCCAAAACACTCCATTTTAGGCTAGGATTTATGCATTCCATTTCATTTCTTACAACTTCCAATTTTCCTAGATCCATACTTTGTACATTCCGTGTTCCAATTATTAATGCACGCTTGCAGTTGTTTCTTCTCATTTTGAGTCATGCCACATCAGCAAATGGAGGTCCCAAAAGCTTTACTCCATTCAAATCATTAAGGTTGGCTCTGTAATGAGGAGGCAGCTCTTCACTAGCTGTATTTTGAGTGCATTCCAACCTAAGGGGCTCATCTTCCGGCACTATATCAGACACTCATCTGTCAGTTTGTTGTAATGCGGTGGCTTGGATGTTGCTGTAAGTTTAGAGGCTATGCCACTGGTATTTCAAATAGCAGCAGGGTCACCTGCGGTGGTCACCGTGGTGGACAGGTTTCAGTGGAGATTCCAGACTAAGACAGACTCAGAAGAAGGAAGGGGCCATCCACTTCTCAAAGAACTGGCCAATGAAAACCTCATGAATAGCAGTGAAGGGAATAGAGCTGTAAGTAAGTCAGAGGCTGAGAGCGGGACACTTGGACTTATTTCCAGGGATTGAAGAAGGTTTCAGGGCTTGAAAAAAAAAAGGATATAAAGGAGACAGAGGTGGAAGTGGCTTGCATGATGGACAGGGCATGGTAGGAGAGAGGATCAAGGGAAGTGAGGCTGTGGTAGGGAATTGAGAACACCTCCATGGATGGTTTCCTATCTTGGTATAATGACCAAAGGGACACCGTCTGTCAAGAAAGTGAAAACAAGCAAATATCCCCTTAGCAACAAGAGTTCAATAGTCAAAATAGACAGAAACCTCCACTTTCTGTTCTTCAGTTCTTCCACTGACTCAAAAGATGAGAACAAAGTGGGAAGAATCTGAAGACTGCAAAGCAAAATGCACAGTAGAAAGTTACCATCTCCTGGGTAATGTGGAGGCCTCCTCACTCTATGAGCTTCTTGATCACCCCAGAGGGTTGGGAAAGAGTTTAACGCTCCCAAATAAACCAACCATTTCTCAACAAGGACATCATAGGGTGGGGGTGGATTTGTAAAGGGCAGTGTCAGAGAGAAGGAGTAGGTGTCTTTTGGGGTCTGGTAGGGGTCACGTAGGCCCTGTGTTAGCCCTGACACATAGCTGGTCCTGGGTTAAAAAGGGAGGCTCAGGGAGGCCCAGGAAACCACGTAATCATCCAGGGTCACATGCTCAACTCACTGCCATCGAGTCGTTTGTGACTCATAGCAACCTTCATTGGGTTTCCAGGGCTGTAAATCTTTACAGCTGGTGAGTTTGAACTGCCAATATTCTGGTTAGCAGCCAAATGCCTTCACCCATGTGTGGCCTTAACCCATTTTGACAGTCCTCAAAGCCCTCTTGCCTGGTCTGCTTAGATTTGGCATCCACTGATAACACAGAATATTCTTCTCTAAGATCATCTGGAAGATGAAGGGCTATCCTCCACTCAGTTACCAAACCAGAACCTGAGAACTAACCTTGACTCACTTGACCCTGTCCTACTCCTGCCTCTGAAGCTAGAGGAGATGGCAAAACTCAGAACTGACTGTCCTACCTCATGGGCCAAAACTCCAGCCACATGGCCATCCACAGTCTTGCCTTTGCTGGTCACTGCAACCTCTCAGCCCTGATTCTTCCTCACTCCCTCCTGACTGACCAGCAATGCCCCAAAACAGGCCTGCCATTGTCTGCCAGCCCTGCCCACAGGATCCAGAAGGGTTCCAGGTGGCTGCCTTTCTGAAATTGTGTCTGACCATCACACTCCTGTCCCTTGTGCCCCTGCCTTCTGAACTTTGGGGCACTTCTCTGTGCTCAGGCCTATCTCTCCCAAACACCCCTTATAGGCAGGTCCCAGGACTGGCTACCTTTCTGTCCACCCAGGCCTAACCATATAGTCTCTGTAGATGGAAATGAATTTTCCAGATAAAGAGGAGATTGCAAGAAATGATACAGCACAGAGACCCAGGTAGGTCAGAGACACAGATTGGATCATCCTCAACAGAAGTGGGACTTCCAGCCCAATGTTCTCTGCCTCCTGCTCCCACTGTTTCCAAATGAAGAAGTTGGCAGCAGCTACCTTAATTTCTTGCCTCCAGCAGCTTGACACTGGGAGGAGGAGCTTCACTTTGTTCATCCTTCTTGCATTTTTCTCAGAGCCCTTTCAAATTTCTGGGATCTTTGAGTGTCCATTAACTCAGTGCTGGGGAACTCTCCACATGAGGTGATATAAGCTTATGGAGATGTTTTAGCTCCAGGAGAACCTGATCCTTGGCCACCTACCCACAGCTTCACTGTGCAGTCGTAAGAGCCACTGAGGATCTTTGTGTCATCCACACAGAAATGACAGGAACTCACCATCTGCTCATGACCTTTCAGAATTTTAAATGGGATCTGAAAAAAGTATAGAATGAACAAATTCAGCAAGGTTGCCAGATACAAGATAAATATACAAAAATAAATTCAAAAATTGAAATTAAGAAAACAATTCTATTTATAATAGCACTAGAAAGAATACTTAACAATAAAACTCACAGCCACCGAGTCAATTCCAACTCATAGTGACAGAGTAGAATGGCCCCATAGTGTCTTCAAGGCTGCAAATCTTTACTTTCTCCCATGAAGTGGCTGACCTTTTGGTTAGCAGGCAAATGCTTTCACCACTGTTCCACCAGAGCCCCTATACTTAGCAATAGATTTAAAAAATGTAAAGTCTATACTCTGAAAACTACAAAACATCAAAGGAAACTACATAAAACCTTAACAAATGGAAATACCTCCTGTAGTCATCAATCAGAAGACTTAATATTGCTAAGATGACAACACTCCCCAAATTGATCTAATGATTCAAAGCCATCCTTATTCAAATCCCATCTGGCTTCTTTGCAGAAATTAACAAGCTGATTCTAAAATTCACATAGAAACTCAAGGGACCTAGAATAGCCAACATGATGTTGAAGAAGAATAAAGGTGGATGACTCACATTTCCTGATACCATCCTGATATCAAAGCTTTCCACAAAGTAACAAAAATCAAGACAGTGTAGTCCCAGCATAAGAATGGACATGTAGATAAATGCTAGAGTTTAGAATACAGAAATAAACTCTCCCAAATGTAGAACTGATTTTCCACAAAGGTGCCAACACAGTTAAATGAAGAGAGAATAGTTTTTTCAACAAATGGTTCTGGGGCAATTGGATACTCACATGCAAACGAGTGAAACTGGACTCTAATGTTACACCACATAAAAAAAAATTGACTCAAAATGGATGAAATACTTAAACATAGGAGAATAAAATATATGTGTTAATTTTTGTCACCTTGGATTTGGCAATGGAGTCTTAACTATGACACCAAAATCACAAACAACAAACACAAAATAGATATACTGGACTTCATCAAAATAAAAAATGTTTGTGCTTCAAAACACACCATCAAGAAAATGAAAAAGACAAACCACAAAATGGGAAAAAGTTTTGTAAATCATATCTGATAAGGGATTTATATCTAGAATATATAAAGGACTCTTACAACTCAGTAAAAAGACAAATAGTCCAATTAAAATATGGGCGAAGAATCTAAATAAACATTTCTCCAAAGAAGATACACACATGGTTGATAATCACATGAAAAGATGCTCAATGTCATTAGCCATTAAGCCAGGAGAAAAAAAAACAAAAAACTGCTGTTGATTGATTTTGACTCATAGCGACCCTACAGGACAGAGTAGAACTGCCATTAAGGTTTTCAATACTGTAAATATTAATGGAAGCAGACTGCCTTGTCTTTCTCCCCCAGAAGGACCAGTGGGTTCAAACTGCCAATATTTTGATTATCAGCCAAGTGCTTTAATAGCTACACAACCAGAGTTCCTTGTTAGCCATTAGGAAAACACAAATTAAAACCACAATGAGATATCACTTCTCACCCAATATTGTTGCTGTTGTTAGGTGCCGTCGAGTCAGCTCCGACTTATAAGTGACCCATGTACAACAAAATGAAACATTGCCCAGTCCTGTGCTATCCTGACAATCTTGCTATACCTGAGTCCATTGCTGCAGCCACTGTATCAATCCATCTTGTTCCATCTTGTTGAGAGCCTTCCCCTTTTTCGCTGACCCTCTATTTTACCAAGCATGATACCCTTCTCTGGGAATGGTCCCTTCTGACAACATGACCAAAATAGGTAAGACAAAGTCTGGCCATTCTTCCTTCCTAGGAGCATTCTGGCTGAACTTCTTCCAGGACAGATTTTTTCATTCTTCTGGCAGACCATGGTATGTTCAGTATTCTTCACCAACACCACAACTCAAAAGCATCAACTCTTCTTTGGTCTTCCTTATTCATTGCCAGCATTCACACGCATATGCAGCTACTAAAAATACTACAGCTTGGGTTAGGCACACCTCAGTCTTCAAAGAGACATTGCTGCTCTTCAGCACTTTAAAGAGGTTTTTTGCAGCAGATTTGACAGATGAATTATGTCATCTGATGTCTTAACTGCTGCTTCCATTGGTGTTGATTGTGGAACCAAGTAAAGTGAAATCTTTGACAACTTCAATCTTTTCTCCATTTATTGTGATGCTGCTTATTGGTCCAGTTGTGAGGATTTTTGTTTTCTTTATGTTGAGGTATAATCAGACTGTAGTCTTTAATCTTCATCAGTAAATTTGTCAAGTCATCTTTACTTTCAGCAAGGAAGGTTGTGTCAGCTGCATATCGTAGGTTGTTAATGAGTCTTCCTCCACTCCTGATGCTGCATTCCCCCCTCCCTTTTTTTTCACTTTTACTGTGGTGAAAACATACACAACAAGACGTTCACCAACATAACAACTTCCACATTTACGGCTCATGGACATTGATGACATTCTTCATGTTGTGCCACCATTGTTGCAATCCTTTTTCAAAATATTCCACCATAGCATAAGCTCAATGCCCCCCAAACAAAAGCTTTCCCTTTCCCCCTCTCTCCCACCCTTGGTAACCACTAATAATCTTTGGTGTGTGTATGCGTGTGTGTGTGTGTATATGTGTGTGTGTGTATATATATATATGTTGTTGTTGTTGTTGTTATGTGCCGTCAAGTCAG